CTAAACCCTAAACCCTGAGCCAAGCAATCGAGCCCGGGGTGTAGAGGTGCCCAGGGATCGAGGTCCGGCATGTCGGGATGGATTTATGGTTGTGTCCTAGGTTCTAAGCCTTAAGCCCGAAGCCCCAAACCCTAAACACCGAAACCCTAAACCCCAAACCCCTGTACCAGTGGTTCGAACATGCTCCAAACTTACGCGAAGGGGTGTGATAATGATGTACCCTTCGATCGAACGAACGGAGCTCTCTCACCGATGGAGATCCGCAGGTGTCTCAGCGGTTTACCTGCAACCGGCGAGACTTTCCAGCACCATCTTAATCGACTGGCTGCACGGGGAATGTTCGTGCAGATTGTTCCCAAGGCCCCCTAAACCGGCAGGAATCCCTCTCCCTCTCGACCCATCTCCACAGGACAACTGCACCATTTGCCTCGTTCAGTTCGGCGAGAACTTCCCAGTCAGGCGCCGCCAAACGCTCTTGTGTTTAGATAGGGTGTTGCAGGGTTTTAGAGTTGCCTTCGAGGCTTCGTTGTCAGGGGTGTTGCAAGGGTACCGTAAAAGTCGTAGAGGTTGGAGGCTGTTGTTAGGGCTTCAGGCTTTAGGCCCCTCAAACCGCTTCATTATGACCCTTAACAGTCCCTTTAAACGAACCCTCATAGATTCCTTTAAAGGAGCTAATTTAAACGAACCCTTATAGATTCCTTTAAAGGAGCTAATTTAAACGAACCCTCGTAGATTCCTTTAAAGGAGCTAAACCCTAAGGCCCCAGACCATAAGCCCTGATGTAGGGGCTTAAATAATTCCCCAAACTGTTTTTTGGGGGCTCCTTATAATAATGATATCATAATAATACTCTTTTGTTTTATAATAATAATAGTATAAAAATAATAGTATAAAAAAAACACCACAACCCTATTCTAATGACTAAGGTCCCTATACTCTAAACCCTTATGGTAGACCTTATTGAATCCTTTTAAGGATCCCTTTAAAGGAACCCCCCCCAAAAAAACCCTATTCTAATTACTCAGGCCCCTATATTACTCACACCCTAAACCCTAAAACCCTAAAACCCTAAACCCCTAAACCCCCAAAGCCCTAAACCCTAAACCCTAAACCCTACACCCTGCAGTAGCCTATTCACCCTAACTTATTCTTTAAAGGAACCCCCCCAAAACCCTACTCTAGTGACTAAGGTCCCTATACTCTAAACCCTTATAGTAGACCTTATAGAATCCTTTTTAGGAACCCCAAAACCCTATTCTAATTACTGAGGCCCCTACATTGCTCACACCCTAAACCCTAAAACCCTAAACCCCTAAAACCCGAAAACCCTAAACCCTTAAGGATCCCTTTAAAGGAGCCCCCCCCAAAATCCGATTCTAAATACTAAGGCCCCTAGAGTTAACCTATTCTGGACATCGAGGACGAAGACCGCGGAGCTCCTTCCGGGTCCTTGGAAAGCCGCCAGCCCCGAGGCGCGGCTTTTTTTTATGGGCTCCTTAAAAAGGGCTCCTTTAAGGGTTCTTTCAAGGGCTCCTTTAAAGGATCTCTTTGAAGGACCTGTTAAGGATTCCTTTAGGGTTCCTTGATGGCTCCTTTACGGGTTCCTCTAGGGGTTCCTCTAAGGATTTCTTAAAGGAACCTTCAGGGGTTCCTTTAGGGGTGAAGGGCTCCTTTAAGGGCTCCTTTAAGGATTCCTTTAGGGTTCCTGTCTCCTTTGTGCTCCTTTAGGGTTCCTTTCAAAGGTTCCTTTATAGGGTGGTTTTGGGGTTTGGGTTGAGGGTTTAGGATTCAGTAAGGGTTTAGGGTTTAGGGTTCAGGGCTTAGGACGTAGTGTTTGCGGGTTTTAGGCTTTATGGGTATCGGGTTGATTTTAGTTCAGATCTTCGGGACTAGGACTAGGATTTGGGGTGTAGAAAGATTGGCGGGTTTTCAGGGGTTAAGGCTTTCACGGTTGGATCCAGGCGCTTTAGGAGGGTCCATTTGAGGTGTTATTCTTGAGGATGTAGGCTTGAGATTTCAGAGTTTGTATTTCGGGCCCATCTCGGCTTCTCGAAAAGCCCAAAGGGTGTTACAAGACTCGCTACCCTAAACCCTAAACCCTACGCCTTGGCCGTTTGCAAGCAGAGTCTGAGAGTTGAACCAAACACCAAGAACTGTTATCATTCTACATACTTTTGGGGGTCCAGGTAAAAGGTTTACTAGGAGAAACTTGCAGCCGAAGTGCCACGCACAAAGCGAAAACTTCTCGTGTTCGGCTCTGCATCCAGCATCCAGGGCGTTCAGTGTGGCTTGATTATGTAGAATATGACCTCGGATGAACAAAAGTATCTTCCTTTAAGTGCTTTCTATGAGGATCCCAACTATAACTTGTAAGAACCTAATCCTGGAATTCCAAACTGCAAGCTAGCGTCCTCACGCCCCTTGACCCAGAAGGCACCCTGCCAAGCCTAGAAATGTAAATGATGAGGTGCAGAACAAATACGCCGAGTTCTTCCGCGGCCACGGTTTTGAGGCACTTGTACACGAGGAGCTGTTGGAGTTCAGCGGCTGTTTCAGCGAAGAACAATTGGAAGACTGATTGTGGATAACAAGGCTAGACCAACAATGCCAACAGTTAACGGAGCATTGCACTTGAACATTGACATTGAAGCAATACTATTCTGTCCGCAGATATGTTGAAAAAGGTCACTCCAACCAACAGCGCACTCAGAACAGAAGTACTAAGTACAGTGTTCCTAGCAACGACCATCAGCACAGCTCTCGTAGGTACGCGTCACCTAATATACCCAAAACACGTTTTCCAATTGATTTAACCCACATATTATCGAATTCGCCCTAAACCCCAAACCCTAAACCCCAAACCCTAAACCCCATACCCTAAACCCCAAACCTTAAACCTTAAACCCTAAACCCCTAAACCCTAAACCCTTAAACCCCGAATCCTACTGTTCCAACTTTTCGATCCCCAGGGTCTGGGTCAGGGATCTGGTGTTGGGGAAACAAGGGCAGCCGAACTGTGACAGACGTCCTGAGCACTCAACCCTAAGCCCCTAAGCCCACAGTCCTAAGTCTTTAGCCATCCAAGCCTTTTCAAAGCCACATGGACCTTTTTCCCGGACACCCTTGCTTGTACGCTTCAAGTATCATAAGATACGGGTCTCATGTAGGGGCCTAAATAATTACCTCTACTCTTTTGGGGGTTCCTTATCATACTTGTAGTATAATGGGCCCCAAAACCCTATTCCAATTCTTAAGGCCCCTACACTCTAAACCCTTATAGTAGACCTTATAGAATCCTTTAAGGATCCCTTTAAAGGAACCCCCAGAACCCTGTTCTAATTATTAAGGCCCCTACATTGATTCAACATGATTTCCCCTGAACCCTAAACCCTAAACCCTAATCCCTAAACCCTAAACCCTAATCCCTAAACCATTGATTCAACATGATGAAGAATCAGTCGCAGGCCGAGGCGAACGAGATGACCTCGTCGGGGCGACGGCTTTCAGGTGACCGATGCTCTGCATGTTTATGGTTTTAGGGTTGGTTTAGGGGTTTAGGGATGGTTTAGGTTTTAGGGGTTTAGAGTTTAGGGTTTAGGATTTAGGGGTTAGGGTGCTGTAGACCGCGGCTAACAACCCCCCTTCTTTAAGGGGCCCTAATATTGGGATGCCTAGGGTTCCAGCACGAGTTCTGTGAGACCTGTTTAGGGGTTCTGGGGTCTCTATCCTTCAAGTCAGGGCTGCAGGTAAGAGCTTAGGATAGGACTTGAGGGTGTATTCCAGCTCCAACTCTGTAGTACCCTGGGACCCTAACCCTAAACCCTAAACCCAACTCTGTACTGTAGTAGCCATGAAGTGATTCTCTTAGAAGGTGAACCCCAAACCCCAAACCCTAAACTGTGCTTTGGTTCGTCTACCATAGGGGCCTTCATAAGTAGAATAGGGTTTGGGGTATATTATACCATAAGAATATAATAAGGAACCCCCAAAACCCTATTCTAATTAGTAAGGCCCCTAAAACCCCATACTCTTATAGTAGCCCTTATAGAACCCTCTAAGGAACCCTATTCTACTTATCAAGGCCCCTACGTTACCCTTAACCCTAAACCCTAAACCCTAAACCCTAAACCCTAAACCCTAAACCCTAAGCCCAAGAGGGCACGTGGCTGTGCAGGAAGCTCTGGAGGGAAGACCAAGCAGGCAGAGGGCCATTTTCGAATGGAAGGGAGCTTTCGGTTGAGGGTTCGAGTTTGGTGTTCAGGCTTTGGGGTTTGGGGTTTAGGG